AGAAAGTTAGAAAGGAATAGGGAATAACAAAAACAACAATAGGTGCCACTAATTGAGTGCTTAGTTTGTGCCAGGCACTGTGCTCAATTCTTTCCACGTAACAACTCACTGCATCTTTATGACTTCTGCTGGCTCTTGATAAGGTGTTTCTAATTTAATCTTAGGACATTAGCCTCCACTGAGGATTGATCCTAACAGGCTCCTCTCATTCTTAAAATATATACTTCAATTCTTAAGAGCTTTGCAACAAATGGGCTTAGTTGGTAGTACATTTGGTCTACAAGGCTATCTTCAACACGCCACGCTCCTGCTATTTAAAAAGCACTTTGTGTGCTTTTTCCTTTGCTTGTCCGCTAGTGGTTAAGAAACAACTGGCACTTGTTCATCCTTTATTTTGTCGCAGTGTTAGGAAATTTTATTTTTAAGGATGTGCTGCTTTATTTTTAACTTCCTGCTATTAAAAGCTTTTGATTTATTCTTGGATGGTGCAGTAAGTGTGGCTTCCTGCAGCTCCCGTTTGACTTACGGCTTTTCACTCATAGCCACAGCAGAGGTGAGCTGGAAGCTTTCTGGAAGAGACGGTTCTGCCCTTGGGGTTGACGTCACCAGCAGCGTCCTGGGAATTGCAGGTCAAGCCTTGCTATAGTGCTCTCCCCTGCCCTGCACAACAGTTGAAAAGGACATAAATAGGAAAGCATCTGGCTTCTTTCATCTCGTGTGCATTAAAATTCTTTTTCTAGTAGACTTATATTAATCTTCCGTAGCAAGGCATAGAGGGAAGTGTTTTATGTCTCCAGTTTCCCAAAAGGATTTGTGAGCTGGGAGAGCCAAGTTCCCATTGGAGTAAAAGGCCCAGCTCTTTGAATGGTAGGCAAGAAATTGATCTTTCAGCTGTCACTCACAGAATATGGTCTTGGAATACACTTGGGTGTGTATACACAAGCACACACAGAAACAGAGAAGCCTGGATCTTGGTTTCGAATTGGACGGATGAAGAACAAAGCTCTCAGACACCCTTTTGGAGGGAAGATATTACCAGAATCACGACGAGGTTCAGTGACCTCACAGGCTTCGCTGAGTGCGGGGCGCAGCTCACCATCCTGCTCATTCTTTTTTTTTTTTTTTTTGAGACAGAGTCTCACTGTGTTGCCTGGGCTAGAGTGTCGTGGCGTCATCCTAGCTCACAGCAACCTCAAACTCCTGGGCTCAAGCACTCCTGCCTCAGTCTCCCGAGTAGCTGGGACTACAGGCATGCGCCACCATGCCCGGCTAATTTTTTCTATTTTTAGTTGTTTGGCTAATTTCTTTCTATTTATGGCAGAGATGGGGTCTCGCTCTTGCTCAGGCTGGTCTCGAATTCCTGGGCTCAGGCAATCCTCCTGCCTCGGCCTCCCAGAGAGCTAGGATTACAGGCGTGAGCCACCGCGCCTGGCCCATCCTGCTCATTCTTGACTGTCAACCTTGGGCCAAGGGGAGCTGTCATCTTTTGCAAAAAGACACATAAATTATTTGAGATTGTTTCAGAAGGAAATCCGAGAAGCAGAACCTTATGGTTTCAAATGAGTTGTTTGTAAAACAAAGGAGAAAGACCTGTGTCACAGAGTACTTTAGGACGTGGACAGAGGTTGCCCGGGTGATGAGCATCGAGAGCTGGGCACAGCTGGCAGAAGCGGAGGGAAGCTGGGAGAAACGTGGGATTTTATGTTTCTTTCATGTTGCAGCAGATGCCAGATGCCAGGTTTCTCCATGGAGGGAATAGTTATGTTTTATTTATCAAACACTGCTGGTACTTTCGTTAAGTGCAAAGCTCTGTGCTGGACATTATAAGAAACAGGAAGTTGAACGCCCATAAGGAGTTTAGAATAGAAGTGGAGGAATTCAGTAGGTGCCCGAACGCTATTTGAGGTTTGAACAGAGAATGGGTAGAGGGGAGCGTCAGGGGCAGGCTAAGTTTGGAGTGACCTAACCTCAAAGTTCCAAATTGGAAAATCAGTGTCGTAATTGGGAGCTGTTGCTTTTAAAATCCTCTCCTAAGTGCTGTGTGTACCTAGGACAACGGGAAGCAGGAGAAAATAGGTGGGGAAAGGCTTGGGCCAGATGATTTCTAAGATCCATGTCAGTCCTAACATTCTTGACATCAATGAATGATTCGAGATGATTGTCTCTGAAGCAGGCTGCAAATCACCTCTTATAGCCTGCCAAGAACCTCTAGGGGCTAAACATTGTAGATGCCGTGGGTGTTATTACAAGGCAGGAGAGAAATAAAGAAGGGAGAGAAGAGAAGGGGAAGAGTGAAAAGAAAGAAGAAAATTATTAAAACAGAAGAGTTCAGCCATCACCCATGACTTATAGGAAGTTTAATCCTGAGGAAGTATGTCAAAAGCCACATCGAATTGGGTTATCTGTCTACATACATAGGTGCTGACTCAGACCTCTGACTTAAAATCTTGTGTTCACGGTGACAATGGAACCCCTAAGAAATTATGTGCAGCCAGGAATTCAAGGGGGTCACTAGGGGGCTTTAGTTTCCTATCAACTCCATTAACGCCATCCCAATTGGGTGTAGACAAATACTAGATGTTTTCTCAGTATTAGATGAAGTATTTGCATAGGAGAACTTCATGACCCGACTTCCAGCTATGTTGGGGCCTCTGGTTCCTTCTGGTGACTTTGGCTCCTCGAAGATGTGGAGCAGCTGCACAAACACACCTTTTGCAGGATAGCAGCAGACCGTGAGGACTGCTTCCTAGGAGGCTCTGTACCCCCCTCTCAGCGGGGGCCTTGACCTGGGAAGGTGCTCCGGCTTGCACCAGGTGGTACCGTTTTCAAGTGCATTGTGAAGCGCCTACACACACGCCCTTTTTGAGGAATTGCGTACTACTCCAGTTTCCTTCTAATGATTGGGGGAGAAGGCCAAATCGCCTTGGATTTTAAGGGATTTTGGTAAAGCAAAGCACAATCTGTATGTTTCTAGCATCTGGGTCTGTTGAAGGGGACGCAATTGAGGGAGTTTGACCCGAGACTCCAGAGTGGTCAAAGACTCATGATCTGCTTTACAAACACATCTCTCTTACTTTTGTTTTACTCACCAGTTCTAAAGTGAGTATTTGTTACTGACCAAGTTTTCCGTATGATTGCCTGTTTTTCTGAAGGAACTTGCATCAGCGCTGAAGTCAGCCTTATCTGGCCACCTGGAGACGGTGATTTTGGGCCTACTGAAGACACCTGCTCAATATGATGCTTCCGAGCTAAAAGCCTCCATGAAGGTAAATGCGTGTGAGATGTCATCTCTGTCAAATCTGCTATTAACATTTGTGAATCCCAGCATTCTAAATGTTAATTAGGTGATTTTCAGTTTTGTTGAATTCTCATTTGTAACCATATTTTTTAATGAACTGAAGCTATAAGTCTTAGGATTTGTACCAAAAATATTTCAATTACTTGTTTTAAGACTGTAAAGAAATTTCATGGTGCTGAGAAGTCAGTTACCAGCTGCTGCTACTCGGCACCTGGGCAATTGGAATACCATTTGGGAAAACTACTTCCTTGATTACACTTCCTCCTTAAAAAAGATATGTTGTGGTATTAAGGCAAAAGAAAAACTCACAGCTTTTGTTAAGTGAAGCTTGCAAATTCTGCCCATATTCTCGTGGGTGTTTCTTCCTCTGATCTGCCTGTCAGTCCCACAGTGTGCTTCAAATTCGTGCAAAATTAGAACATCATAGTGCACACAAGGGGTGATTTCCGATTAGGAAGGGTAGCTGAGTTTAGTTCAAAGTCTTGTAGCACATTTGATCTTTTATGTTTTTCTTTTGCAAAGTTATTTTGAACATGAAATTTTAGGTTCAATTAGATAGTAAAAATTCCAGGTTGGAAACCCTTTGAATTTCGTACCTATCTAAAACACCAAGTTTTTAATACACATGCTAGATGCGTACACATAAATGTATGTTAGAGCAGAGGGTGTGAATTCTTTTCATAGTGGGCGCCTGCGGCACTTTGAATAGTCTGATACTGCCCTCTGCTGATAAAACTGGGTAAAGCCTCTGCGCAGTTGGGGGAAGCCATATTTCTGATTTTTTGTTCTAAGTCCGAGTGTGTTTTCTGTGACGCCACTGTTCCTGAATTATGAACAGACGGAGCTGTAAGCCTGTCACCAGAGCTAATGTCACGGTTCAGTTATCATCCTTTCCCCAGAGAGCACGTCGGGAGTGAGACTGCCTCACACACCGGCCATTTCCGGGGACTGAACTTGATAGTTCAGAGCTGCTGAAAGATTTTGTTAAGTCTCTCTCTTCCTTCAGTTCTTCCGCTTAGCTCAAGCTGTGCTCGGTTCATTTGAGCAGACTTGCGCTGAGTTTCCTGTGTGAACTGTACTGCAGGGAAGGTATAATTAAGAATGATGAAATGTCAACGACATTTAATGATCCTGTTTGGTAAAGATAGCACTCCTGAAAACTGAGTCTTTGGACCTTTGGAGGCATGTATGGTCTGGCTTCTCCTGGGTTTCTTCTGACCGTCAACACTTTCGATCGGTTTATCTTATTTTCGTCAAGAATCCATTTAGACGTGATTTGTATGGTTTTCCTAGTATCTGTTACTAGGTATCAGTGACTTGAAACAGACTTTGTTTGAGCTGTCAGGCACTGTTGTAATCTATGTAATTGGGCCCAATGAAAGGTGCTTTAACTGCTAAATCTTTGACCTTATGCCAGCTCTTCCATTAGCTATTACAGTTGAGTACCCTTCTGAAATCCATAAAGCTTGAAGTGACATTAACTGAACTATGCTTTTTTAAAAAAAAATCTGTTTTGACTTCTGGCAATACCAGTGGCAGTATCTGCCATATGTTCCAGTAGAAGTTGCCCGTGTGACAGGAATTGTGGACAGTCTGTGGAAAGCTTGGGCCAAGTGTTGGAAATTGCCAAGGTCACCTTTGAATGTAGATGTAAAAACACTATTAGAATTCTCAGATATTACCACTGGTATATCAGTGATGGAAGGAAACAAATCTTACATTATTCTGCCTGTCTTGCATTTCTACAATGTCAGGGTATAGTATTTCTTCCAATGCATGAGTTATTTTTAGACTGTATTTCTATCATCTTTGAGATTGAAAAACTGCCCCTCCCTAAAATATTCAAAGATGCTCAGTAGTCATTTTATAACATTTGTATAGAATGCTGTGTGGACCTTTTGCTAACAAGGGAAGAATTTGGGGCTTTGCTGAAACCTCTACAAATCGTGATTAAAAACTGTGGTAGAACAGCCATTGGCTCAAAGATTAGATTAAGAATAAAATTCAAAATTAACCATTAACCTGAGGCTTAGCTTATATTACACAGACTACTTTTTCAGGAGCGTATAAAATCTAATAAGTTTAATTAATAGCTAACACACTTTTCATGTGGATAAGTAAGTTTCTTATTGTATTAACACCTTATAATTGATTTACATTTTAAACAGTTGTAATTCTACTTAGTTCAAAGTGATATTTCCATATTCAGAAAGACAAGTATTGAAGAATCCTGATTATTAAATCTTGACTTTGATCATGAAGCCAGCTTTGAAATACATGTTTCATTGAGTCCTTTCAAGCTATCTGGCACGCTCAAAAGTGTATATATTAAATTTGAATACATCACCCATCAAATTCTTATTCCTTAATAAAGTGTTGGTATCTAGGTTTATTTGGCACTTCATTATTTCCTTTTGCTTCCCTAAAATGCCTGAAGTGTGCATAATAATCAAGCAAAAGTGGAAGTAGAAGAATGAAATTTTTAACATTAACCCAATTTTACATTTCAAAGAGGTGAAGCTAAAAATTTTATCTTAACTATACCTTTCCCTAGTAAAAAGACTTACTCTAATGATGCTGGCTGCAGTTGACAACATACACTTTCTATATTCCCTTATTTTAAATTAGTGAGAAGAATTGTTTAATGAAGAACATTCTCATCTATTAAAATAGTGGGTGGTTGTTACAGAAAATGAAAAATAAAGAACAATAGGAAGAAGAAAAAGTTACTTTTTATAAACCCATCACTAAAAGGCAACCACTTTCAACATTGTGGCATATTGCATTGCTGCCTCTTCCTGGTCACTCTTTTTTTTTTTTTTTTATTAATAACATAGTTGAACTCCAACATGCCACTTTTATAACAGCTTGTGCTCTGGGGAAGCATTTTTTAAAGGAATAGAAAATACCATTACTTTATGCTGAGGAATGTAGTGCAGATTCTTCAGGGAGGATGGGGAAAGGAGAATGCTAAGGCACCCACCCAGTCCCTGTTTGCAGTTTACTTGATGGCGATCAGAGAAGTGGGCTAGTGGTGGGGAAGCCGTTCCCTGCTGACGTTCCTTCTTCCTGGTTCACAGGGGCTGGGAACCGATGAGGACTCCCTCATTGAGATCATCTGCTCCAGGACCAACCAGGAGCTGCAGGAAATTAACAGAGTCTACAAGGAAAGTGAGTACCCCTATTTCTGTGATCCTTTCTCTCAGCCAATTCTGTGACTCCATTGTGGTTGCATGATTTTGTGTTCAGGAGAGGATGCCCGGATTGTAGGTATGCAGAAGTGCCTGCCACCTCGACCATTCAGGCGCGGTTGGCCATGGTCAAGGTCTCTCTCTGTCTCCTCCTTCTGGCCTGTGTTTTGAGTATCACATTCCATTAGAACTTCTGCAAAAGGCTAGACAGGAGGCCAAGAGAGAAAACAAAATTTATTTTTAAAAAATCTGATGAGGAGAAGTAGAAAGTATTATACCGGGATTCCATTTATTGGGTGCTGTTCAGTCTCTCCGAAAGAGATTCCCAGTTCTGGACTGTGGACGATTGAAGAGTGAATGCCAGAGACCCCTGTGGGCCTTGTACACTAAGCAGTATAGGAGGCTGTGGGTAGGAAAAATAATGCAACTTACATTGCTACTGCATTTTTCCTTTTTTAAAAATTGATACACATCATAGTTGTACATATTTTGGGGATATGTATATTTTGGTGCATGCATACAATGTGTAATGATCGAGTTCGGGTAATGGGGATATCCATCACCTCACCCATTTATCTTTTCTTTGTTTTGGGAACAGTATAATTCATCTGTAGCTACTGCATTTCAATATAGATGCTATTTTGAATACTGAAATACAAATTCATTTAAAAGTATTATTTAATTCTTACTAGTTTTTGCCATTGTGCATTTTCTCAATCAATGGATAATAAAGCACATTTGTGTGTGTGTGTGTGTGTGTGTGTGTGTGTGTGTAGCCCTCCAAATTTTTTGATGTTCAAAATGAATATTTATAGTCAAGAAGGTTGGGAAGTAGTTATTTTAACTACAAAAGAGGTCACTGATCAAAGGTGAACCTGAAGATCCCTGATTGGATCTAACCCTGTCTGTCTCTTGTCACTGATGATCACTCTGGCTCTGATATGGGGGTAAAAACCATTCTGGAGAATCTGCCCTCAGTGTGGGGTTAAGGAGCATGGACATGTCCAGCTGACACAGCTGTTCTGCTTTTCAGAGTCTTGGTGGGGAAGGGCTAATTGGGGTGGTGGGTGGCTGGCTGCATGGGCAGGAAGCATAAAACTGGATGTGTTATTTTCCAAGTGTACAAGACCGATCTGGAGAAGGACATTATTTCCGACACATCTGGAGACTTCCGCAAGCTGATGGTTGCCCTTGCCAAGGTTGGTTTCCTGGTTTATTTCTTTACCCTTGCTTCCTCCCAAGCAAGTCACGTATATCTGCAGTCCCCAACCCCTGGGCCATGGACCAGTACCAGTCTGTGGCCTGTTCGGAACTGGGCTGCACAGCAGGGGGTGAGGGGTGGGCAAGTGAAGCTTCATCTGTGTTTACAGCCGCTCCCCATCGCTGGCATCACCGCCTGAGCTCCACCTCCTGTCAGATCAGCGGTGGCATTAGATTCTCAGAGGAGTGCAAACTCTACTGTAAACTACACATGCAAGGGATCTAGGTTGCACACTCCTTATGAGAATCTAATTCCTGATGATCTGAGGTGGAGCTGATGCACTGGGGGAGTGGCAGCAAATACTGATTATCATGAGCAGAGAGATTTGACTGCACAGAGACCATAGTAAATGAATTGCTTGCAGACTTGTATCAAAACCCTATCAGCGAGTGGCAAGTGCCAATGTAATAATAACAGAAATAAAGTGTACAATAAGTGTGATGTGCTTGAATCATCCCGAAACCATTCCCCTCCTCCCCCGTCCATGGAAAAATTATCTTCCATGAAACCAGTCCCTGGCGCCAAAAAGGTTGGGGACCGCTGACATACCTCATTTTATACTTGGGAGTGAATTAACTAAATCCTCTGCTTGCATCAGAAATTCAGCTGCATTTTTGACAGAGGGTTTGCACTGCCACCGCAGAGTTGTCAGTTTTGTATAATAGGATTTCTTATCCTGCAAAACCGCATGGACAAGTGGACTTTGGGGGCCAGAGGAGGACTAGGCGGCTCTCAAGTCCTGGCCTGGATTCATGTGCCAGCCCTGACCGCATGACTTAGGGAAGGTTGCTTTGCCTCTGTGGGTGGCTGCACAGGACCCAGTGGGAAGTGACCCTCTCGTTCACTTCTCCTGCTCTCAACTTGCCCATGGAGCCCTTTTTCTGCAGGGGGGCGGGTCTTTGCAGAGCCAGTTGCTAATGTTAGCACAGGAACATGGAGGAAAGGCATCTCCCCTGTGAGTCCAAGTTCTGGCCGGTGTGCAACGTAATGCCTACTTGCCAGGGGAGGGAAGAGCAATTATTTTCTCAGAGGACCGTGGTGACGCGTGACGGACAGTGTGCAGCGTCCCGTGCACTCACACTGCCACCACTGCCGCAGCTCCCTCGCTCTGCCCTCTTGCTCTCCCACCTGCCCCGGGTGGTAGCACCATGGACCTTTCAGAAATACACTTTCACTATTTTACTCCCCTGTTCAAAACCCATTTCTGCTACATCAAGTCCAGACTCTCAAATGCCTTTAAGGTTCTCTGAGCCCTGGCCCTCCCTCCCTTCATCTTCTTTGCTAGGATTCTCCTGCTCAGCTCTGCCTTGGCGGGGCAGCACCTCACGAACCCGTGCTCTGCCTGTGCTGTCCGGCTTGTGCAGGACGGCGCGCTTGCCCTCCTCTCCACTGGCCACGGCTGACTCACTGGTCAAGGTTCAGCTCAGGCCCTGCCCTGGTGTCCACACACTCCGCCGACTCCACTCTCTGAGTTCTCCCTTCATTTGCACTTCACGTCTTAGTGCTGCAGATTATCATGGTGTTTTTCCATTTGTTCTATGCTTATTTCTCCATCTGGCTTGTAGCCTCTCTGAGGAAAGGAACTAAGTCTCATTAGCTTTCTGGGGGGACAGGAAGGAAATTCTTCAAGGTGCTTAGCCCAGGACTGGGTACAGAGGGGTCGATGATGGCAAGGGACAGCACCCCCCGCCCTGCCTCAACTATTTTACCATTTCCTGGTCTTATCTAGACCTCAAAGTGAAGAAAAATTTTAAATGGCTGTTTGTTCAGGAAATTAAGTAATGGCTTACATAAGTTGGAGAGAAAATGTTTTCCATTTAAAATATGCAAAGAAATAGATTTGATGTCCTTAATTTTTTTTCTGCAGGGTAGAAGAGCAGAGGATGGCTCAGTCATTGATTATGAACTGATTGACCAAGATGCCCGGGTAAGTGCTGAGCTTTTTGCTTTGGGCTTCTGTTTTCTGGTAAGTCTCTGGAGAGTCTGTGCAGTAATCTATTCCTGTGTAACAGATCACCCCAAACTATGGCTTAAAACAACAGACATTTATTATCTCTCACTTTCTGTGGGTCAGGAATTGAGGAGTGGCTTAGCTGGACGGTTCTGGCTCAGAGGCTCTTGTGAGGTTGCTGACAAAATGTTGGCCAGGGCTGCAGGCACCTGAGGGCTTGAGGGGGTCAGGGGATCTACTGCCAGGTGGCACAGCCACCCACACAACTGTTGGCAGGACACCTTGGAATCGCTCCATGGAGGCTTCTCTGCGGGGTTGCTCGAGTGTCCTCACAACATGGCGGCTGGCTTTCCCTAGAGCTAGTGATCCAACAGAGAGAGCAAGGAGGAAACCGCAGTGCCTCTTATGACCTAATCCCAGGAGTCACACATTGTCACTTCTGTCATAGTCTTTTCATTAGAAGTGAGTCACCGAGTCTAGCTCATAATCAGTGGGAGAGGAATTGGGCTTCACCTTTGGACGGGAGGAATATCAAAGAATATGTGGCCGTATTTTAGGCCCGCCACAGTCTGACAGCAGTATTTATTAAAAGATATTCCCTTATCATGCGTGTGTTAAGTACAGGATCAATACCTGGCTTGTGTATGCTCATTCAGGCTTTGCTTGCATGGAAGTACCAGTCTGTGCAGGGTGTGAGTTGGCTGTGCACACTCGTGTGCATGCACTTCCACGGAGCAAGCACGTGGGGAGGCAGAGGAAGATGGTGACAGCACAGCGAGGGACAGGAAGGCTCAGTCTCCCCCCTGGTGGGGAGAGGGGAGGGCAGCAGAGGCCCTTCTTTTCCAACTGAATAGTGCGTTTGCTGGTTGTAGTTCCATAATCTCTGAGAACTGTTTGTTAGGCTCATTCAGACTGCTATGGACGATGTCCCTTACTCAGTTATCTCAGGGCATGTCATAACAGCTGCAGAGAAAAATTCATTTAAATTCATTTTTAGTTTTAAAATTCAACATATTCCACAAAGCACTTTTAGCAGGTGGTAGAGGAGGGTTTTAAATAAAATAATAGAAGTTGGGATTTGCAGCTCCCAGATGGTGGACGATCCCTGAACGGCTATCTGCTTTTGCATCACCCTTTCTTCCTCTGGCCCTTCCTGCCATTGTGACCATTACTTGTAGCCCCTAAATTTTCCAGAAACTGAAAGTGAGATTGGACCAGCTCCTTTTGTAGCTCGGTTGTTTCCTGAACATTTGATGTCTTTCATATGAACAGAAGCTCTTGGTCCTTCCGTTTGTGTTCGAGGAAGGAGATCGTATGGCACCGACCTCATGAACAATCTGCAGTCTCATATTCTATCTGTTTGTGCCTCAGGAAGACTGCTTGTGATCAAGACTTTTGACCTAAACAGCACATTTTTGCCCACGTCTGCAGTGCAGTCATCCTTTCTCATTTGGCGTTTTGAACGTGTACAGTGTTTTGGGTATTTTGCATGACATTTTTTATGCCCTTGCTCTGGATCGTGTAGTTAACTTCCCCTGGTTGGTTGTACTCGTAGGATCTCTATGACGCTGGAGTAAAGAGGAAAGGAACCGACGTTCCCAAGTGGATCAGCATCATGACCGAGCGGAGTGTATGCCACCTCCAGAAAGGTGGGCACTGTGCCGAGGGGGTCTTAGTGCCTAGGTGCTCTCAGGCGGCCAGGCGGGTGTCTGCGCTGGGGCTGGGGCTGCCAGAACAAGGTTCACTTCCATTTGGCACTCTCATGGGCCCACCCATTTCCCTCACCGAGTCCACTCCCCCTCCTCTCCCGTTCTGGATCCTTGGCTCCCCCAGGTAGTTTCCATGTTTGGTGCTTTAGCTTGCTGCCCCTTCTTGTCTGATGAGCATTTTATCTTGCCATATTTGTTGACTTTACTGGGTGCCACGTACCGTTTCTTGTGGCTTTCAGATGGAATGGGTTCCACTCAGGGAAGTTGGAGATGGTCAAAATGTTTGGCCTGGGCAATGCCATTCAGGACACGTGCAGTGGTGCAGCTGTTCCAGGACAAACTGGTGTAATGTTGGCTCTAGTCACCGTGGCAACCCTCTAGGATGCTATGTTCATCCTCGGTGTTTTTTTTTTTTTTTTGAGACAGAGTCTCACTCTTTTGCCCGGGCTAGAGTGAGTGCCGTGGCATCAGCCTAGCTCACAGCAACCTCAAACTCCTGGGCTCAAGCGATCCTCCTGCCTCAGCCTCCTGAGTAGCTGGGACTACAGGCATGCGCCACCATGCCTGGCTAATTTTTTCTATATATTTTTAGTTGTCCAATTAATGTCTTTCTAATTTTAGTAGAGATGGGGTCTCGCTCTTGCTCAGGCTGGTTTCGAACTCCTGAGCTCAAACAATCCGCCCGCCTCGGCCTCCCAGAGAGCTAGAATTACAGGCGTGAGCCACCGCGCCCAGCCGTCCTCGGTGTTTTTTTAATCCTGGTGCATAACTGTGTGGGTGACCATTGACAGCTTTGACTGGTGGCTCTGATCTGATAACGATGTGTTGCTTTTCCTTAGTATTTGATAGGTACAAGAGCTACAGCCCTTATGACATGTTGGAGAGCATCAGGAAGGAGGTCAAAGGGGACCTGGAGAATGCTTTCCTGAACTTGGGTGAGTGACTGTGGCCCCCGCCCCTGGTGGACATCAGCTTTTGGTGGACAGTGCTGAGGCATCTTAGCTGTACACATTTAAGGATGTAATAGTGAAGAAGCGCCTAAACTGGTAGAACAGACTGTCGCCAGGGAGCACCAGGACGGCAGGAGAAGAGAGGACTGTGTTGGGGAAACCCACACGCACGTGGGTTTCTGCAGCCCTCAGCCACCAGCCCATAGCGGAGCTTAGTATTTCAGAGGGTTCCCGGATTTCCCTTAGCCTGTCCTGTCTTGCAGCCCATTTCTGTCATGTCAGGGTCATTTCTGGTTTGTGGCCTGGGATCAGCGTGTCCCATTCCACCAGTGGAGGAGAGACACGTGGCTGTAGCCCTGACTCTGCCTTCTCTCCGCAGTCCAGTGCATCCAGAACAAGCCTCTGTATTTTGCTGACCGGCTGTACGACTCCATGAAGGTAAGGGCGGCTGGCTGAGACGCCCACGTTTCCACACTAGGCTTTGGGGTTTAAGCTTTTCTTCTTTTGTGCCCCAAACCAAGTCTCCTTGACTAGTGGATGGAGAAGGGGATCCCTCTGTCTGCACGCAGGAACACAGTAGTCAGCTGTGGTTGTATTTGATGAGAAAACCAGAATCCATCTTCTCTCTCAGCTGCGTAAAGATGTGTTTGCGTGCGAGCAGAAAATAAAGTGCCGTGGGAGAGAGAAAATGCGAGATGGTCGTGGTGCCTCATCCCTGCTCTGGCTTTTCAGTGGTTTCCTCCTGTTTCCCCTAAAGCAAAGACAAGTGAGGAAGGGAGAGATCATTAAGCACCCACTATGCAATAGACACATGCTACTGTTTTACCTTAAAAAGCAACCTTGCAAAGCAACCTCTGAGGCTTCTGTGATTATCTTTACAGATAAAGAGACTGGAGCTCAGGAAGCCTCAGCTTGCTTGAGGTTACATAGGCCAGATTTGAACCTGTCTGTCACACTCCAAGGCCAGCCCTGCAACTCTCCCTTAAAGGAACCATCTCTTCCCACAGACCCCTCCCATTTTCCACGCCTCAGATGTGCCTTGTGTTTTCTAGGCTATTGCCGTTTCTTCCAGATGCATCTCCGTTGTCTGTGCAGCCTCTCTCCCACCTCTCCTTGGGTTCTGTATTGGATATGATCCCTTGATGCCTCTGGTCTGAGTCTCTGGCAGAGAACTCAGTCATCCTTACTGCTCGTAACACTCAGAAAAAAAAAGCGCATTGGATAAAAGCGCATTGGCGTGTCCTCTCTAAGCCCGGAGTGTCAGGAACCTTTTGTTACATATGTAAACTCACTGACCTCTCGAACCGAGCCTCGCAGTAGTAGGCATTTAGGACACGTGTATTGAATATACAGAGTGGGAATTTGTGCTGACTAAATCCTGGTGTGTTTGGAATTCCAAGATGCTCATTTTTCTTAAGGAAATAATTTCACTGTTGTGTTTGCAGCATCAAGAATTCAGATCAGTTCCATATGCAAAAAAATCTTACTATAGGCTGAGTAGCCCTTATCTGAAATGCTTGGGACCAGAAGTATTTCAGCTTTTGGATTTTTTTGGATTTTGGAATATTTGCGTATACATAATGAGATATTTTGGGGATGAGACCCAAGTATAAACACTAAATTCATTTATGTTTCATATACACCTTAGACACATAGCCTAAAGGTACTTTGATACAATATTTTAAATAATTTTGTTAATGAAACAAAGTGTTAAGTACTACGTGTGGAATTTTCCACTTGTAGTGGCATGTTGGTGCTCAAAAAGCTCTGGATTTTGCAGCATTTCGGATTTCAGATTTTCGAATTAGGGATGCTCAGCCTGTAGACTCTTTTTTAATGACAGCCTTCTCAGTGAATTTAACTTGGAGCATCCACTTGACTTTCAGGGTAAGGGGACTCGCGACAAGGTCCTGATTAGAATCATGGTCTCCCGCAGCGAAGTGGACATGTTGAAAATCAGGTCTGAGTTCAAGAGAAAGTACGGCAAGTCCCTGTACTCTTACATTCAGGTAAGGCCTGGCAGGTCGCCCTGCCGTCCAGAGCCCGGGGGACCCTGGGCAGGTGGCCCGGCAAAATAATGGCAGAATGGTGATTTTCTGTTCTGTCATTCTCTGGGGAAGAAATGCTGGTCGTCGAATATTGGGGATGTATTTTGAAAGCACCATTTACCGTTTGTCCTGGACTCCCATAGAATCAGGCAAATATTTTATATTTTCCACACCTGTTACTCTGCAGTGATATTAATATTAATAATTGGTGTTTATGATGATGATCCTGCAAGATTTGCTGACATCCTGAGGAGACCTGGAAGATATTTTACTCTATTTCTATGTGTTGAAAATTCTGTGATAGCCCTGACAACTTCAGTTCTCAGAACTCCCATCTCTCCAGTCGGTTTAGCCTCTGTCCATTTTGGAGTGATGGAACATTTGCATGGGAGGAGTGATGGTGTTCACAGTGGTACCACTGTGTGTGTTTCAGACAGGCTTTGCAATTCCCCTTGCAAAAAGATCCTGAAATTTCCAAGGGCATGTCCGTGGTTGCCAGGGATGAGTTTAGAGGTGGATTTGGTATCCGCAGGTTTATGAGGGCACATGTTTAAAGTTGGGGGACCAGTTGGACTCTTAGCAATTGTCTCCTCACCTCACCATAAGAATCTGGGAAAAGCAGAGTAAGGCAGGAGGGCACCCCATCCCCTTGGAGCAGGGAGGGTGGGGAGGAAAGCGGAGGCGCTTGCAGGACCTCGCTGCAGTAAGAGCAGCTCTGGCCACTTACGCGTGCAAAGCCTCAGCGCTTTGCATTCTCTCCACCCTGCAGTCGTAAGGGGACTTGAAAGTCTTCCCCATCCACTGCCCCGACCACACTCCCGGAGGGTCGCTGGCGATGGTTTGGGTGTGGGCAGGCCCTGCAGAGTCCATCTTTGTTGTGGGAGAGGCTCTACTGTACACTGAGGCTGCTTCTGTGTTTTTGTGGGTTTGGTCTTTTCTCTGACACTGCATTTCTTTTTTCTCCTGGGCCATTTGTAGCAAGACACTAAGGGCGACTACCAGAAAGCGCTCCTGTACCTGTGTGGTGGCGATGACTGAAGCCCGACCCAGCACGAGCATCCGGAAACGGTGCTCGCTACGCTTCCAGCTAACAGGTCTAGAAAACCAGCTTGCGACTAACAGCCCCCGTGGCCGTCCCCGTGAGGAGGATGTTAGCATTGCCCCCTGCCTTATCTTAGTAGCCTGAGCATTGCCTGGCCTTCTTGTCTAGCCTCTCCTTTTAGCCAAAGAAGTGAACATTCCAAGGAGTTGGAAGTGACGTCTATGATGTGAAACACTTTGCCTCTTGTGTACTGTGTCATAAACAGATGAATAAACTGAATTTTTACTTTGAAAATAAGTAAGTTGTTGGCCTTGCTTTCAGTTTAATTGTTTAAAAATTAAATGTGCAAAGGGTTATATTGTTCAGCTGGTAATGTTGTGCCTAGAGGAAGAAAGCTCTAGAATTGAGCTGTCCAACATGGTAGCTGTTATCGAGATGTGGCAATTTTAATTTAAATTAATTTCACTTGAATAAAATTAAAAATTCAGTTCCTCATCATCACCATCCTCATTTCAAATGCTCAGTATCTGCATGTGGTTAGCAGCTAGAGTGTCGGACATGCAGGTAGAGAACATTTCCATTACCACAGAATGTTCTGTGAGCAGCGCTACGTGCCCAGGGGATGAGAGATGCCATGGGGGAGAAAAAAATCCTAGAAAGACCTCTCATCTGTTCATCTTTCTACAGGTAAATTAGGTGAGACAAGCATCAGTGGTGGCCACAGACTGGGGAGAGGGGTGGGACGGGGTAGAGGATTCAGTTCAGCAGACAGTGCAACTATAAGTTACTAGATTTACAGAAATGAATAACATCCTGCCCCAACCCCAAGCACTCACCTTTCAGCGAGTCAAGCTACAGTATTCCTGTAAAGGAAATCTAACAGAAGTGGATCGAGGGCACAGAGAAGAAAGTGGTTTCTTTCGACTGGGTGGATTGAGAAAGATGACAAAGAGAAGGAAACCCGTGAGCTGCACCCTAAAGTCTAAGCCGGGGCAAAGCTCTCCGTGCAGATTCTCAAGGTTCTGAGAGTGGGTGACAGCGCGTTCACACAGCTGGTACACAGGTCACAAAGTACGCAGACTGTACAGTGAGAATCAGGTCTCATCCACCCTTACCCGAACCAGCCAGTGGCCTTCCCCACGGTCACCTGGTTTCCGATACATCTTTCCACGGACAGACTCTGCATAATAAACGTGCATTTGTATTTATGTATCTCTGTGAATGAATGTGAAGGTGCTGCTCACAGGCTGCTAGCCCAGCACGCTGTGGGGTCCTTTTTACACAAGCACTTTTCCTAAGCAGGGGTAGGGCTGGGGGTGAGGGGAAGTTGATGACTCTCCCAGACGCTTCTACTACACGTCCTCCTTGTCAGACACCTGGCTGATGCAGGACAATCTCAGTTGTCTGCAGGGCCCAGGTGGGTAAGGGAAATAAACCTGTGAAGTGGGCAGGCTGGAGGCGGGTGGGGAGTCTAGAGAAATGGGAGGCCTGCCCCACTTTAGGGACTCACATCCAGTGCAAACGACAGTAGCAACAGCATGGTAGCCACCAAACCAAATACATCTGTGCGCTGATAGGCTTGTTGTTTCGACCCTTTGGCAAACTTTGGATGGAAATTCAGATGGAGCGTGAGTCTCGGCACCAGTGGCCCATATAGTACCTATAAGTCCTCTGAGATATTTTTTAAAAAGCAGGTTATGCTAAAATAGGGGATTTTTATCCAACGTGTCCTGCTATGCATATTAGAATTGATGCCCTAAATCCCAAAATAAACTTTTTTGTGTGCTTGGGGCAGAGTTCCAGGAACTGCATAAGAAACAGGACCTTTCAGTTTAACCCTAAATTATCACACTGAACTCAGAATTGATAGGGCTGGGCAGAGGCTGTCGGGAGCAATGTTGCAGATCGGGAAAAATTTAGAATTTATTTCCTCACCCACGGAGTACGTTTCAGGCTGCAAAGGGAACAGCGTTAGAAGAAGGCAAGGCCATGCCGTGAGCATGGAAGCCTCTCCTGCCACGCCCAGGACAGCCTGGCCGCGGTCTGGCCGATGTAGACCCTCTGGCAGGTGTGAGGGAAAATCCAAAAGGCAAACTGGCACAGGAGAGGATCACGGAGAACGGTTCCAAACACCACCTGCTGTCTCTCCAGTAGTGGTCATCTAGTGTTTCCCAAAGCTGACAGCAAGGGCACTTGGAATTCGTTCTCATTTTCTTCTGGATTTCGGCCTGTCCTCAGTCAAGCTGTCCAAACCATTTCTTGAAGTAAAGAGAACCATCTGCAGATTTGAATATTCTCCCCAACAATTTTACTTTGCAGACAGAAGGAAAAGGGCACCAGGCAGGCTTTAACATTTTGTGAGTTGATAACAAGAACTTTGACTTTAGTCTTGGAGGAATTAATAGGCAATGGACACGATGTAGCCATGAAAACTTAATGATACACTATGATCAAGAATATGCTTCCCACTCTCCCCACTGACTTGGGGGGCTGTCACATTGCACAGCTCCAGAGAACAGTCTTCACTTTGTAGTCTATGTGAATGGTATCTCCCCTAGAGTTGTGCAGTGCACAACCTGAGCAGCCACACGTGATGGCCCTATATTGTAATCCTAGGCATGTGTGACGTGGCCTATTAGGCCTTTTGCTACAGAGTTGGCATCCAGATTAAAAAGTTGGAAGACAAATCTTACTTGGAAACAAGTGAGTGAACCCCTGAAGGTCTTGACTTTTCCATGGACTCGTGATGTTTGGACCAGTTTTACCAGGCTATGCACAAATGGCTCTGTATATGAATCTTCCCCAGTATGTGAAGTTCCCATGGTGTAAATTATTAGTAAAGATAGCTAAAGCAGGGAAAATCAGGCTCACGAAATGGCTACATTTAGCAAGAAAAATGATTTGAGGACAGGAATCTTTTAAATCAATTTTTAGTCTTTAAATGACTTCAATCTCCAGACCTCTCCCTATGTTTTGACAAACGGCTTTGGCTTCTTACCCACATCAGTTTATTTGACCTCCTTTCCCCATCAACTACCAAAATGAAAACTCTGCCGCGAGAGAGAGATGGAGAGAGAGGGAGCAATTTTAAACATCCTTAGCAATGAGGCAGAACATGCTAAAGCCATCAAGTTCTAGTTGTTCATTCTATTTATTGAAAAAAGCTTGTAGCCTGATTTCTTTTATGCGAGTACATTTGAGCAAGCAAAGTTTATAGAGATGACTTATCTCATTACATTAGAAGAGTGATTTGCTATCTCAGCATCTATAAGCAATTTTAACAGACATTTCTGGATGAAGAAAAGCTTTTGTAAATATATGCGAAAGACACAATTTCATCAAGCATTAAATTGGAGGTGCCCTGGAAAAATATTACATTTGTGCATTCAATTAGCTTGATTGTGGCTGAATTTTGTCCACTGAAGGCAGCATTTCTGCAGAAAAACAGAAGCATTCCTTATGTCAGCAGGTTTCCTGAAACAGAAAAGCACACTTACCCCTTTTGAGCGTCGTCTTTTGCATTTTGTGCTGTTCCCAGCTATGCGTCCCTAATCAGGTCGCTCGGTCTTGCTCTCCACAGTAGAGCGTAAGAGGAGAGTGAACCAGAAGTCACTTTTTATTGAGGGGCCTGCATAGAAATCTAAACCCAACAATCCCAACTTTAAATGGCCTGCATCTAGTGTAAAAGCTAGGCGAGCTATGGGCAAAATTGGGAAGGGGTCAAAGATGGACTTAAGCCCTCCGAACTTCCCTCCTGGTCCCTGCAGAGCCCGTCTCTCCTCTCAGGGTCTGTGGGATGCTGTTTACACCTTGATATGGCTGTCAGTCCATTCCCTCTGCCTGAAGTGAGTTTACAGGATTGACCTATAGTCTATCCTGGAATGGAAGCTTTGTCCTCCTATTACAGGAAGAAGGGTTAATGAGGAAATGGAAAATGGTTGGGAACAAGAGGACTTTCTGAGATCCCTAAAATCACAGTGAAAGAAGTGAGTGAAATATTTAGGACAATCACAGCTCCCCTTCAATGGATCCTCCACCCACTTGCTGATCTGAAGCCGAACCACCTGCTTCCTACTAATAAGAAACAACCCAGAAAACGCATTTTGTGTCAATGGAACCTGGCTGTGGGGGTGGCTGATATTTTTAAATAGTAGGTGAGGACAAAGGGAAACTTTCTCAGCTATAATCTATTATAGCCCAGGGCCATTACACTTTCAAGTAAATGTCTAAGATTAATTAACTAATCTAAGAAAGGCCTGGCATGGTGGCTCACACCTGTATTCCCAGCACTTTGGGAGGCTGAGGCAGGAGGATTGCTGGAGGCCAGGAGTTCGAGATCAGTGTGGGCAACATAGCAAGAACCCTTTTCTAAAAAAAAAAAAAAAAAAAATCTTTTAAGAAATAGCGAGGAGTTTGGATCAGGAAGAGAGAAATGTCTGAAACAAGTTTTAGGTTACCACCTCAGTGCGGCTGCCAAATTTCAAATTTTACCATGGATTCTTGAACTTTGGAGAACCATCTTGGTCTTAAGGAATTACCTTTGTCCTAATAGATATTAACTGACAAATGATTAGGAAGATCTTTTTTCCCTTTTTTTTTTCAGACAGGCTGGGGTGCAATGGCATAATCATAGCTCACTGCAGCCTTGAACTCTTGGGCTCAAGCGATCCTCCCGCCTCAACCTTCCTAGTAGCTGGGACTACAGACATGTGCCACCACACCCAGCTACTTCTTTGTAGAGAAGAGGGTCTCACCATGTTGCTCAGTCTGGTCTTTAACTCATGGCCTCCAGCGATCCTCCTGCCTCAGCCTCCCAAAGTGCTGGGATTACAGGCGTGGGCCACTGTAGATGGCCTAGGACGATTTTTAAAGACTAGAGTTAGGCAGGTAATATTGGGCCTCAGTTATTCACTTACTCATGCATCAATTTATTCATTTATTCAATAGACATACCTACTCGGTGCTGGTCCCTAAACTATGCACAGGGGATATGATGATAAGGGAGAATGAGAAAAAAGCAACACTGACCACACAGAGTAAGGGTTGTAATCGAGGAAACCAAAGGTGCTTGGGGGGCCAGAGTAGCTGATCCTCATTTAAGATGAAACACCTGGACAGTTTCTGGGGGAGGAAATCCCTAAAGTAGGATTTTTTTGAGGGGGGGAGTATTTTTTTCTTACAAGGAATCATTGCAGAAAGTTGGAAAATATAGAAAAGTATAAGAAAAAACCTGAAATCACCTGGAATATCAACTGGAATGCATCAGTGTTAACATATTCGTCAGGATGACCTGC